CACACACAAACACACAGACAAAAAAAAACAGGATGAGTTTAAGTGATTGCTGTGGTATTGTATGTGGTCTCAGAGGAGTAGAAGAGGGTAACAAGAACTTCTCAAAGAATAAACTTATAGCAAAATTCAGAAAAGATATTGGCTATCCTCCTGTTCCTTATTGTAAAAGTTTTCTTCTTCTAGCTAACTTATCTTTTCTTTCCTTCTTCCATTCTCTACCACCTTGTGTCTGTTTCCCTTCCTGTCTGTGCTTTTCCTTCCTCTCTTCCCTCATTGTTCTCTCTGCTCGGGGATATAAACTACAGATGCAGCAGCAGCAGCAGCAGCAGCAGCAGATTCTCAGAGGTAGATGATGAGCCATCATGTATGGAAGAGATCGACTACAGTGCAGACAGCAGCTCAGATCCAGAACACAACCTCGCTGAGCTGGACCGGCAGATCCAGGAGTGTGCCTTTAACAAGGATGAAGAAGAGGGAACAGAGGAAGGGATAGGGCAGAGAAGAAGATCTGTCCCATAGTGCTGAGGTCCAGTGCCAGCTCTTTGTTTCCAACCATTAGACTATCATATGGCTTTTTCACTATTAGATATGTAGTGCCTGAGCCAATAGAAAAACTAGTCCGTGTGGGTTTAATTACTCTCTTTTTGTTGTTGTTCTAGCTTCACCATGCAAAGAAGCTGGGTATGTCATAACTATAAGGTTTTATATACACAGCATGATGTCATTGCACGTAGAAATGGGCATGTGTGGCGTTTTCAGAATTACAATGGGTCCTTTCTACATAGACCTCAGCTCTCCACCAGGCCTGGGCAGACACCGAAGGAGACTATAAGCAGAGAAGAGGGTTTTCTTCCTGGGTTATTCTCGGAAAGAGTACTAAGCATTTAAGTTGCTCCAAATATGAATGTTTTCCCAATACTGCAGCATCTGAGCTTGCAGCATAGACACGGAGCCTGCTAAGATTTTGAAAGGCTTGGCAGCTCTTCAGCTACTGGGTGATCGAACATAAAAGCCTGTGAGACCAAGTCACAGCAAGTATTGTCTTCGATGTTCTATAACAGTGTGCACTTTGCAGAGGCTGTATTCAGTGGTAAAGAACATGATTACTCGTTTTCAAAAATTCCAAATTTGTACCTCTAAAGCCATTTAAACACACACTGGAGATACGAGATGTACTGGGAAATCCATTTATTGTAGAATCAGACAGACAGATGTGGTTCATATCCTGCATCTGGCAAGTGGCTTGTTCTGAAAACTTAAGAAAGTAATTAAATCTCCTGAAACCTCAGGGTTTTTATATGTCTCTTGGGAATGGGCATAGCTATATCACAAAGTTATAGTAAAGATGAAATGAAATCATATATGAAAGTGTGCAACTTGGCACCTGCTACATGCTAACACTAGCTCACAGCACATTTCCCACCAAGGAAAGAGAATTCTATATAAGTGTTTGCACAGTTATAAGAAAACACTCTCTGGTGCCTGATGTTTGCAATGTATTCCTTTCTGGAAGAGATTTGCAAAAGAAGCCACAGAAGAGACATGTGGAAAATTAACATGGTGGAAATGGCAGAGGGCCTTTCAGCACACAGAGGGACACAGCATTGAGACAGAACAGTAAGATAAACAGGACCAGGGAGAGAAATCCAGAGATTTCTAGATAGTGTAAATGATATTTAGTATACACATGTCATTCATATTTAGTTAGGATTGGATTTGACTATGAGAAGTAGAAGTTAAAAAATGGTGGTAAATTTCATAAGTCCTTTTCTTTCATGTGAGTTTCATATGTGAAAAATGTTTAGAGCTGGTGTTATTGTTGCTTCATATCAGAGATGCAATGTCTGCTACTTCTACAAATATCAAACTCTTAATCTAGGGTGGCTGCAGAAACATCAGCCTTTGCAAACACATCCCATACTTCAATAAGAATAATAAAAACCAGAAAGTGCTCTCTGCTGTTCAAAATTTTACACATATAACTTTTGCTTAATTTTAGCTACACAGATGACTACGAGGGAGGTTGAAAACTGTCTTTCTGAGATAGTCCTTGACATTTGAATTTCAGTACAAAAGAAACAGACAATATTGCATATTTGGTGATAACTGCCAAAGATGCATTCCCTAAGCTGTCCACCAACTCCAGATAGTTTTAAAAATAGTTAGCAAAGAAAACTCAAAGAAGGCAATGGGGCAAGATTCTGCCACAGTTTAGCATCAAGGTGTAGAGGAAAGATATACCCATTACAATTTAGAAAATAAATAACATTGGTAGTCTTTCACTTTTATACTTCTTTTTCAAATTCTTGCTACATCTCAGAAAATCCATTCTTTCTCCTTAGACATTCAGTGTTCTATAATGTGCATGTGAAGTTTAATGGAAAAAATTGGAAGAAAGTTCAAACTCCAGACTCAGAGCATCTTTTAACTTTTCCTGTGTTCATCTTAATACCTTCCCACTCTCAAAAAGAAGATCAAAATATTTCTCCTGGATTCCCATTGACTTGAGGAGTGAAAGGCATAATCCTGATGAAATATAAATGCCAGAAAGGACAGGGAAAATGGTCATCCTTACCAGGAATTAGCACCGAGTCATAATTATTTCAGGGTTTAGTTCCTAGTCATCTAACTCAACTCTGAATGATCAAGGACAAAGTTAGCTTCTCCAGGGAGAATTTTTTAAAAGTCATGAACATGGAATATTCATTGATCTATCCAGGAAAAAGAGTTATGTGAAACACCTACTGTGTGCCATGTACTCTACTGAACTGTAAGAATGAAGATGAAAGAGACTATGTCTTGAAATTCAAAACTTACTTGAGGTGTGTAAACAATAAACATTTTATTTTATTATGATGGTATGGACCATGATGAAACTATACAAAGGCTAATATTAAAAAATATTGACTCCAATATGAATATTTTATATTGGTAAGAATCTATCAAAAGTAGTTAATAACTATAGTTTTCACTGAAAGATATCCATGAACTCTTGGGCAACAAAAAATAGAATATGTACAAAGGCACCAACGTGAGGTTAGAGTTTGGGATAAAATGATCACTTTGACTCACTTAAATGTTATATTTGTGGGTTGGGAAAAGAGAAACATGTGAAAGATAAAAACGCAGATAATAGCCAGATTGGGCAATACTTGGCATGAGTCAATAAAAGGTTAAGTCTCATTTTGAATGTGGTAGAGGTATGGGCTCTTATACTGGAAACATGCCCATCATGTGTGCATCAGTGCCACTGTCCATATGTTTATGGATATTTGGTTGGTACCCTCTCCAAGAAGGTTATTCGCTGGTTTCAAAACTATCCCTGTGCATGACAACATGCTTACTGTGGCAGAACACATGCAGTAAGGTGAAAAAAGTGAGTGTCTTTTGAGACTGTGTTGAATGTTGGAAACTGAAAAGACATTGAGTTGGAGAGAGTCTCTCTAAGTGAGAGGTACAGCAGGGAATTGAAGTTCAAGGTCACCCTTATGTATACAGACACAGACACACAAACATAGACACACACATTCACACACTAAATACATAATGTGTACATAATATGTGTGTGCTCTATTTTTTGAGCCACACACATTATCTAAATGCCTTCTTCGAGTGTATGAATCCTTTCATGGAATTCTCTTTCTCTGATGAGCCTTCCATGATCTGACATAAGCTATCAAAACTCAATTCAGATTCTGAGGAGATGTCTCCATTAGCAAAGGGCTTGCTACAAAAGTATGGCCATCTGAGTTAGGATCCCCAACATCCATATGGATAGCTGGGTGCTCCGGTATATACCTGTGAATCAATGATGGGGAGAGGCATAGACTGGTTGATACCTGGGGTTTAATAGCTTTCCTGTCCAGACAGTCAGGAAGATTCATGTTCAGTGGGAGACACTGTCTAGAACAATAAAGTGGAGAACTATTGAGGAAGACATGCAATCTGTTGACTTCTGGTCTCCTACATGCATGTGTTCACATGAACACTGAAATATTCACCCACATGAACACACACATACTCATATACCACACCACAAATAAATTTATAACCCACTTCAATTTTACCTTTGGCTCTGTACAATCCTTTATAACCATCCTAAACCAAGTTATGATTTCTCTTCTGTGTCCCTATCAATACACCAACAAACAAACAAACACACACACATACATATATACATCATATATACATTTACATATGTATACATATATACATCATGATATCAATACATGTACTTTTATAACATGGTTACCATTTACAAGGTTATTTATATGCCTTTAATACACATATCCCGTGAACCATTGAGAAGTAGGCTCTCAAATGTGCAGGCTTGTTACTGTCCTGCATCTATCTCTGTGCTTGGCATGCTTGCTTACATGTTGAGGGATTCCAAAACATGTTACTACCCCTTCCTGACTCAGCTTCCAAGATATCCAACATCCTAATGGAATTATGTTTTCTTTGAGTCTTTCTATTTCCCACCTCAAATCATGATTTGTTTTACAGAAAGAACGCTTGGTTTCATTTAAAGGGCATCGATCAGAAGCACAGCCTGCCTCTCAGGCTGGTGAGTGTCCCAAGGAATGGCTCTTACGCAGGCAGCCCAAGACTGAATGGTGACCGTTGGTTTTGTATATGATACAAATGTTCAAATAGCACATTAAAGATAAAGAGACAGTATCTCCCTGTTTCCAGGGACTGTGGCATCCCTCCAAGCGCTAAAGATGCCACATTGACTTGGGTGAGAACTGGCCATGTCTGTGGTACCAACCCAGCAGCCTAGCCACTGGCGATCCCATTGAGGAGAATTAGCATCCCCCAGTTCCATCCATGGCCTCTAGTTCCTTCTGAGCTGCCAGCAAAGGGATTCCGAGTCACAAAAACATTTGAAAACAGTCTGATCCCTGAGTCATGAGATTGCATTGAGACCTGCCAGCACATGTAAGGAAACATTACACCCCAAAGGGAGGTGAAATCTTCCTGCCCAGCTTCCATTTGTCAGTCTGGAGAACTTAGCTGTGGAGTGGATTTCATATTCCTAGTGGAGCCTGTTCCTACTGCCAAGAGCAGAAGCTTCCAGGAATGCCTGACATAAGTCATCCTTGTTAGGGACTCGGCACAGTGACCCACAGGGTTGATGTGAACATTTGGATCCACATTAGAGTGATGGATTTGCTTTGCCCTTCTGGTACCTCTCACCCAGGGCCCACCAAAGGCTCCTGCCTTGGAAAGACACACAGCCAGTAGCTGGTACTCAGCATGAGAGCTTTTTGGACAACAATAATTCATCAGGCCTGGAGCCTGCTGTTTTCTGCCTAACAGATGTCCCCTTATGTTTGTCTTACAGTTTGGCTTTTTTGATGTCCAATGTATTCTTGATAGCAAATGTTGTTCAGAAAAAAAATATGCATGTTAAAGGGAGATTTCAAGAAATATATCTCTGTACATATGTGTACACTGTTGTATACAGCTTTAAAATATCTGTTGTATTTACCTAACACAGTGAACATGGCATCAAA